ATCAGTGCAATTATTCCCATGTAAAGAACAGAGACCAGGAGCTCAGGAATTTTGCTAAATAAGTATACAGTAGCTCAACCAATTCTTACAAAAAACCCCTTGAATAGCCAAGGCCACTTAGTCTAGAGAGGCTAAGCAACTTGTACACGGCAGCCCAACCATGTGTAGTGGAGCTTGGAAACCAGTGCAGGTTCTGGAATGCAGGCCCTTAATCCCTCATTGGATTTACCTAGCCATAGCATAAACAGAAGAAACCTAATGGACTCACTTTGCTAAGAAAACTACATAATTTTACAGATCTCTAGAATTTTATAGGTAGGAGAGTCCTCAGAACTTCAGTTGTCTAAAATTTAGAATACAAATTGTTTGAAAACACCTCTTACAGAAATGTTGATGCTAATGGACACGATACACCTGATCCAGAAGCACAACCTACATAAAAGTTCATGAGAGTGCTTGAGCTCACGTGCAGGAAGGAACCTGGAGGACATCATTGGTTAGCTGACGAGCTGTGGCGATTTGCCAAATTATAATTCATTCACAATTGATTGTTGAGTCCCCTTTTGCCTATGGTACATTGTCTATCGTTTCATTAGCCTCATGCTGTATTTACTATGTCTACCTATACTGCTCCTGTCCCTTACCTCCAGGTCAAGAACCTTTCAATTTTACTCCACTACAACTCAAAAAAAGAAAAGCTGCTTCATATAGAATCGATAAACGATACATGCTTGAATTGACACCAAAGTATTCCTTTTTAAAAGGTGAATTGTTCATTTTTCAGCTGCTTATGCTAATGTCTTATACCAAATATAGTTGAGACCTGGTGTTGCAGCTAATACAGTGAAATCAGCAAAACAAAGATCATATACAGGAGAATCAAGTAAGCAGAACAGGGTAAGGACACATTTAAATGGACGGAAAAACATTTAATCAGGATGAAGCAGAGAGGACATATTTCAGGAAATAGGAAAGGACAGAACAATAGCAGAGAGGTACCTGGAGACTGACAGACACAGGAAAGCAGCGGGCACAGCAGTGTGGTGTTGCAGTGACTGATACTCCAGCGGCATTCAACTAACAGCCTGAAATCCACCAGCAACCACGTGGGAAGGGACTTTCACTGGGAGCTTGGCAGGTGAACCCAGACAAAGAACTGTCCTACCTGTTGGTCCATTTGATTTGACCAGGAACAGAGACAGAGCAGCAGGTCTCAGACGGGCAGTGCGAGAACAGGGTGGATTTCACAGCCCAGTCATCCCCTAGAGCTGAATTGGGCGCCATTTTGCGTAAGGAGGAAAGGGCAAGGGAAAGGATTGAGCGTGCACTGAGCTGGGAGTGAGCTCATTTCTGACTCAGTGAACCACAGCATCGACTTGGCATTCTATGGGTTCTACCCGGGGCAGATCTGGATAGCCCTCGGATCTGATGGCCAGCAGATCAAGAACTGTAGCGGTGGTATGTCAGGCGTCATTTTGCGCACTGTGGCAATTGCTTTAGGACTGCAGGGGACAACAGTGAACTGTGCATGTACTGAACTCGTGAGAACTCCCTGAGTTCACTGGATTGCACTAGTCCCGCAGGAAAATAATATTGACTGTGGCATCGTATTGGTCAAAATAGGTCCCTATGGCACCCAGACCTAATGTCCCACAGGTTCTGACAAGATCAGCGCCACCAACAACCTAATTATATAGGACATCTGGTGTCTCTAATCATGGGATCTGCTCCAACTGGAAGTGGGAGAAAGGTTGCAGAGACAACGGTGCAGCCTCAGCATGGAGGCTGGAGGTGGAGAGTGGTGAGCCAAGAGCTGGGGCTGTAGAGACCACAGTGGAAATCTAACCTAAGAATCCAGGCCTGGAACTTGCTGGCAGTTGTGGCACAAGTGGCTGCAAGCAAAAACTTGTGTACCAACTGCAATAAGTAAAATCGCATTGTAGACCTGTGGGTGACACAGCTTAGAAACCTGCCCCAAGAAGAAGACTCTGCTAACCAGAGTACAATGATCAAAAGCAAAAGAAGAGACAAAGGCACAATGAATATTACTGAAAACTCCCCTGCAAAGGAGCAAAACCCTTTGCCAATCTCAGAGTTCAATAAGGAAGACATTGAGAAAATGGGGGGCACAGAATCCATAAGACTCATTTTACAGATTCTGATCAAAAGTGAGAAGCTCATGCAAGAGTTCAAAGAATTTAAGGAAGCAGTAAAGCAAATCAAGACTGGAATATCAGAAATTAAGAACACAGTAGAGCAAATTACAAGTACAGTGGAGAGTCTACAAAATGAAATGAAGCAAGCAGAAGAAAGAATCTCGGAATTGGAAGATATTTCCTGTCACCAGAGGGAAGCAAACAAAAAGCTGGAAGCAGAGCTGGATCAGGCCAAAAAAAGCACTCAAGAATTGATAGACACTATTAAGAGGCCAACTGTAAGAGTTGTGGGAAGTCCCAGAAGGTGCGAAAAGAGAAGCTGAGTTTGCAAATATATTTAATGAAATAATAAAGGAAAATTTCCCAAATCTGCAGAAAGAATTGGGAAACAAGATTCAGGAGGGGCACAGAACTCCCAAGAGTCTTGATCAAAAGCAATCTTCACCATGATTATCAAGCTCTCTTTAATTGAACATAAGGAAAAGATCCTGAAATATGCACGGGAAAAAAAATGAATTGACATATAAAGGAATGCCAATTAAACTCACAGGAGATCTCTCACAGGAAACTCTGTAGGCAAGAAGAGAATGGAGTGACATATTCCAGATTCTAAAAGAAAAAAATTGTCGGCCTAGGATAACATATCCAGCAAAGCTTTGTTTTGTATTTGAAAATGAAATAAAACTCTTCCACAGTAAAGAAAAGCTAAAAGAATTTGCCTCTTCCAAACCTGCCTTACAAATGATACTTCAAGATGTTCTCTTGACAGAGAAGAGGAATAGCACCCAACGAAACCAAAGGCATATGGGAAGAACATCCCAGTAAAATGACAACAGAAGGCTAAATGAATGAACAAACCATTCCTAAACTGACAGGACCAAAGTACCACCCATACATATTAAACCCTGAAGCTAAATGGCTTAAGATCAATCAAACGTCATAGATTAGTAGACTGGATTAAAAACAAAACCCATCTGTTTATTGTCTGAATGAGACACACTTGAACAAAGATCAGTGGAAACTCTATCACATGGAGTTTGTTGTTTTGTTAGTTTCATCTCTTCAAAACGTTTCTGATTAAATCATTCAATGACTCGTAGATCATGCAGTGGCATCATTTTCTTCAAGAAGGTTCTTGATTTTCATTTCTTCAGCTACATGTTAGGCATTTAATAGCATGTTATTTAACTTCTTGGTGTTGTTAATTTCTTTTTTCTCCCTGATGTTGATTTTGTTGTGTGGCTCTTCATTTAAGGGGATGTATAGTAGCTGTGTAAAGGAGACTGTCATATCTAGTAAGATGTCATTTAACTTCATGGCATTGTAAATATTGATTTTTCTTTCTATTGTTGATTTTGTATCATGACTTTTCATTTAAGGGGATGTACAGTAGCTGTGAAATGGAGACTAACAACCAGATGTGAGGATGCAGTGTAGTATGCATTTCTGTTTCCAAAGATGGACTTACAATGAAACTGTTTATTAGATCTTGACAATAGGATTCTGGACTCTCTGCCATTGTCTATGCCCGCATTCATGGTCATATGACTGAGTATGAAGAACTATATGTTAGTAATGAGATAGAGGAACTAGGTGGGTGGGAGGGGATAAAGGAATATGGACCTGCATTATAAACAGATAATAATAACAACAACAACAACAACAACAATAATAATAATAATAAAATGTAAAAAAATCATATATACAGAGTGTCATTTTGCATCCTGACTGCTCTGCTTAGGATCCAGCTCCCTGCTGATGCACCTGGAAAAGCAGTGGAAGATAGCCCACTGGTTGGGTCCCAGCCATTTATCTGGAAGACCCTGATGGAGTCCCTGGCTCTTTGGCTTCAGCCTGGCCCAGCCATGGCAACAGCAGCTATTTGGGGAGTGAAGAGCAAATGGGAGATGTCTCAGCTCTCTGTCTTCCCCCTTCTCTGTCATTCTCCTTCACAAAAATAATAAATATTTTTTCATGAAAAACAAAAACAAAAGATATATATGCAATTTTCTTTTATGGTACAGGGTTAATAGGGGAAAGAATCAGAGTAAATCCATCTGGGTTCAAATCCCAACACCGTCACTTCCAATTTATGACCGTAACAAGTTAATTCAACCTCTTTATCTCAACAAAACTGAAGATGATAATTGTGCCTCCTTCGCAAAGTTGCTTAAAGGACTAAATGAGTTCATTCCTTTAAAAATTAGGATGTGCAATGCCTGGCACATAATTCAGTGCCATCACCGTCATCATCAGCTCCTTACCATTACATTTCATAAACCCAGGCACAATGCAGGCTCCCAATAAATGTTTATTTGCTTTCCTAAAATATATATATATATTTTATATTATATATATTTATATATATTATATATTATGTATATATATATACATATATATATATAAAACCATTGTTTCTTCAACCTAAAACCTGTTTAGGCATATGATGCTACATCTACACGCTTGTACATCTACATAAAAGGATCTTCAATGTCAATGAATGGTTTTGTATATAACTGATTTTTTATTTTACTTGAAGAAAATTTGAAAATCCCAGGTTGACTGGTTAGCATGTAGAAATCAGAAGCACCGCTAGAGGGAGCCATGGTTTCAAAGGTCGCTAACATTAACTGCGCAGGATGTTTCAGCTCCCTATTGAACCACTCATTTCCCTAAAGGGCCACTCACAAGTGAACAGAAGAAAAAGACTTCTTTGAAGCTAATTAGGAAAATCTGAGATATAGACAGGACTTTTAGGACTTCGAAAGAAGCTCGCTCTTCCCACTCTCCAAGAATAGGAACTGAAGTTTCACGGTCCTTAAGTCCCTGTTGACCACCTGTTACCTGAGTCTTTGCTCCTGTGCTATACAGAGCCGCAGTCCTTCCCATGGCAGCAGCGCTTGGGATGCAGAAGAAAAACGAAGAAATCACATTGCTGAGTCCGTGGGCCAAGAACTCCTGCAAGGTGGACAGTGAGAGATTGTATCATTGCTCAAGTCAGACTTTGGAAGCCATGATCCCAATCTGTCAAAGAATGAATCTTGTTTGCATTCAACTTCCATTACCCTTCCCAGTTGGGACTTAAACAATTGTAATAAAAAGAATGAACATTTATTGAATGCTGATAATGAGCCAGAAACTGTCCTCAGCGTTGACTCATGCAGTGCTCTCAGCAACTTCACAGGGAAATACTCCTTATTCATGCTCTCCATCACCAATTCACTTCTATCATCTTAGCCACCAAAATCAGGCTTTTTTTCCCCAATTACTCTGTCATTATTCTAAACCCTGAATTCAATGGTGAATTCTTCCTTTATCTGGCCAAAAAGGGGTATTTTACACAGTTGCTGGATTCCTCCCCAAGGACTTCTTCACATGCCTTCTAGGACCTCCTGGTTCCCTTCCCTTGCCACCCCGCTTCAATTTCCTTTTTGGTTCCCTCCCATCTCAACACCCACAAGTATTGGACTCCTTTCTCATCTCTCTCTCTCTCTCTCTTTTTAAGCTAGCCAATAGGTACGTTGGCAGCTCTCAAATTCTTGCCTACAGCTTCATCCACTCCTTTGAACTTCAGACTCAAAGTAACCGTGCTCCTCCACGAGCTAGCTCGCCCCAGCTATCTGCCACAGCAATCTGGACCTTCCACATTCTTCTCCATCTTAAGGTCTGATTATTTAGGTCAAAGCTTTACCGTTCCTGTTGGCTCCCTCCCCCCATCCCCACCGCTTTTCCCAGCTGCCATCTGGATTCAGATCCAGGTCCATCCTCTTCTCATTTATCCCCAAGGTTTCCTGTCTCTTTTGTTGTCAGTAGTACAGATAAACCTCATAAAACTATGGTTCTCGTGAGGGAATGCTGAACGTAAACAAAATAAATATTGAGGAGGAAAAAAAAAGGAGTGTTTTGGGACCTGGAATTTGAGATGCTAATTATTTTTATGCATTTTATTTTTTGTGTATATTTATGTGAAAGGCATAGGGACAGAGACAGAAAAACAGATATATAGAAAGAGACAGAGAGATGATCCCCATGCTGGCTCATTTCCCTACACGCCTGCAGCGGCTGAAGCCAAGAATGCAGAACTCCCAGGCAGAGAGCAGAAACTAGGCACTTTTGTCAGCTGATGCCTCACAGTTTATGTGGGAGCAGAAATTCTGTGGGAAGCAGACCAAATTTCAAACTCAGGCACTCCACTGTGGGATGTGTTTATTTCCAGTGGATCTCAACTACTGTGCTAACTCCTCACTCCTGAAATGTAAGTCTTGGATTACTACAGAAAGTCTACGGGAAAGACCATGGGGATCATGGAGTTGTGTGGATATCTGGGGAGTAGAATGGCTGGAAGGGGAAAGAGCAAGTGCAGTGCCCTAAGGTGAAAGTAATATGCCATCAGAAGGAAATGAGGATTTGGACAAGTCATGTCTAGTTTACCGAGCAATGGCAGAAAGGTTATTAACCCTAGTATGATGGGAAGCCAGCCGGGGATTTTAAACAGAAGAAAGAGAAGGTCTGTGTTGTTCCCTATTGATTTGACTCAGACCAGTGCCCAGTACACACTGCAGTTCTGTACACATCTGTAGGATCAATAAGTCCATCTTTTACAGATGAGAAAACCATGACACAGTACAGGTCAGAATCCCACAGTGTCAGGAAGATTGGTATTGGGCAGTAGCATTTGTAACAACTACGCTGCAGCTTCTGCACACACCCATGTCCCTCTGTGGGACTGTGAGACCAAGACACAGGCAGACAGGTGCTCAGAAACAGCATGATTGTAGCCTGCATTCTCTGTCGATTTAAGAATAGACCACTGCATCTTTTCTTGCTAAGAAAAGTAAAGTTAATGCTTCATACTTTGAAATCCACAATGTTTAAAAGTTGTACTGCTGATGTGGAGATAGATACATTTCGATTCTCTTCTAAAAACAAAAGGAATCTATTTTAAGATTTTTTTTTTTTAGTCCTTGCATCAGAGCCAGCACTGTGGAATGGTGGGCTAATCTTCCACCTGCAGTGACAGTCTCCCACATGGACAAGGGTTCTAGTTTCAGCTGCTCCACTGCCAATCAGCTCCCTGCTTCCAGACCAGAAAATCAGTCCTTGGGCCCCTGCACCCACAAGGTAGACCCTGAAGAAGCTCTTGGCTTCTGGTCTTTTATCAGCTCAGCTCCTGACGTTTCAGCCATTTGGAGAGTGAACAAGCAGATGGAAAAGCTTTCTCTCTGATCTCCTTTCCTCTGTTAACTTACCTTTCAAATAAAAATAAACAAATACTTTTAAGATTTTTCTTTCAAAATTGTGAACCATGAGCTTTTTACCTTTCTGTGAATGATTTAGAGATTTTTCTTTTGTTCTACCCACTCTTGGTACTCACGAGCTTGTATGTTTCATAGATCCCTGCATTTCAGGCTCTGAGAGTACACAACACAATGAAATAACAGGCATGCAAAGGACCGGGGGTACACTTCACCTGGTTGTCATCGACTGAATATTTGAATTTTTTGGCAGATCCTTGAGCTAGAGCCAGGGAGGCTGCGTAGCCTACCAGAGCCACGCCGAAGGCTTCAGTGATGACCGCGGAGAGCATGTTCATTGGGGGAGCTCTCGGAGGAGGAATTCTGTGAAGAGAGAAGATCATACTGAAGTCATCAGTTGGGGGGTAATTCCCGAAATAGTTGGCAACACATTCAAACGTGATGGTGACGCTGGAGTTAACGTAGAAGAAGCAAAACACTTGGGAGACAAGCAAACAGCTTTGCCCCGAGAAGTCTTTTGTGTTGGATATTATTGACCAGATGAGCCAAATCGCCAAGAACAGTACAAGGAGAACTGTATGCCCCTTAGGACATCAATCCTCTGGGAATCTAGACAACCCGAAGACCCCCAAGAGAAGTTCACATTTTATACACAAAGGCAAACCTGGAATGCTCTTGCATGCCCTGCTTTCCAAGTGTGTATTTAGTTGCTATTGGTGACTGTAGTTCCTTGTTTGAATACTATGATATGCAAACACTAGTTTACCGTGATGTATAATACTTGACTTAATCCCTGGACTTAAAATTTGCTAGTGAGTACATAATCATAATTAAAGTTTGAACTCAACAATTTCACAAAACTAGTAACTCTTCCTTATGAAAGTTTGAGAAAAAAAAGGAACATATGCAGAAACCTCCCATCTACTTGTTGCAAAAATTTAGGACCCCGGATAACCATTTCCTCATCTCAGAGAACTATTTAAAGTTCTCTCCATTAAATAATATCAGACATTATCTTCTTGTCCTCTGGAAATCATGTAATCAGAAGTATCATAATTCATTTACTCATGATGATTCTCGGGGAGACCTACAAAAAAATCACTTGGGCAAAAGACAACAAAAAAGAGAAGTTCTTGTTGACTGACTGCTGGTGACTCTCTGAAATGTCTGGTCTGTTTATAGTCCCTGTTTCATTTAACTATTCTAATAATTTCCACATCAAACATCAGTACAACCAATGTATCAGGGAGAAAGCATTTTGAGAAAGGTTAAAAAAAAATCATCTGAAGTTACCAAGGAAGTAACAGAGTTGAAATTCCACCTTAACTCCAAAGTCATGCTCATTTTATGATGATTACTTAATACAATGGATCTGAAACAGTCTCTCCAAGACAGAGATGTCTTTTTTATTTTTTCTCATTAAACTTTGTCTTAATGGGTCTCAAAATTCTGTAACAGATTTTGGGTCAAGTTGTTTCCATTAAAAAGTACTGATTTTAAAAACTAATAGCTTAAAACTGCCACACACACAAAAATGGTCCACAAAACATTTTCCTTTCCTTCTGAAGGTTTTACATGCATTGTTATCGTTAACCAGTCTTTTACTATTAAACTTAACTGGCCAATTGAGACCAACAGTTCTGAGACCATTCTTCCACCGCTGATTAAGACTGGGGTGGCAGGTGTTAGGGATAATATTCATTTAGCCTTCTGAGCTTTCTGGTTAGACTTGGTGACCTTGCCGGCTCCACCAGCCTTCTTGTCCACTGCTTTGATGACACCGACGGCCACTGTCTGCCTCATATCACGGACAGAGGAGGATAGTCGGAGAAGCTTTTAACACACATGGGTTTGCCAGGGATCATGTCAGCAATGGCACCAGCACCAGATTTCAGGAATTTAGGGCCGCAAGACAGAGATTTCTTTCAATCCATTTACTAAGCTTTGCCCTCAAACCAAGCTGATAGGTACATTTAATGACGTTTAAGACATACAGCTAGAAAAGCAGTTCCATTTCAAAGTGCGATGTTTTTGTTTCATTATCATTTTGTTTCAAAGTATGAGGGTAGGTGGCATTAAAAATGGAAAACTGATCAAAAACTAGTAAATTGACTTTAAAAGAAAACAAGAAGTCTTTTAGAAAAACAGCAAGGATTGATTGAATTCAGGTAACCCAGTTGATTCAGTTAATCAGTTTATAGCTACGTAGGCTAAAGATGAAAGATTTTAAAATTTTGTTTCTAGTTAGTAAGAAGCTTGCCACTGTTTTCCTATTTTACTATTTACTTTTCTTCTATGTATTTAGAAACAAAACCTTTGGACTGGTAAATACCAACCTAGATCCATCCAGCCATTTCCACTTTGCCTCCCCTCCCCCAAAATACAGACCGCTGTTCAGGACAAGCATCCCATTAACAAGGAGTAACGGAGGAGACACACATCTAGTCTTTGTCCTCTGTGAACCTATTCTTTCGACTTACAGTCCATTCCCCTTTAGCTTAAATATCTCCTCGTTTTTCTTTTAGTGTCCAAAGGCAGGCACTATGCCAGGTAGAAATTAAACATTCTTTACTTCTCCTCTTCCACCCCCTGTGGAATTAATGAATTACTTTATTTTTTTTTAACACACACGTAGCGTTTGTTTCTCTCATTTCAAAGCAAATTATAATTTTACTCCATATAGGAACAAAATCTATCCTCATACAACCCCAGTTACCCTGTCATCAAAAAACAAGCAAAATGTGAAAAGTCTACATTACCCTCTTGGAATATGACCGAGTACTTCCAATCCATACGTGTTCTCCATGTTGGTACAGTAACAAGCAAATGATGCAGCAATAATCTGTAGGTTGCATTCGGAAATATAAAATGTACTTCTTATTACTGACCTCTGAAATACCTTCAGGACATTGATTTTACTTTTTTTTAATCTTTATTAATACAAAAGCTAGAAGAAACATCGTTTGTATGTCGTTTGTACCATTTTCAATAGTTATGGAGCACTTGCACAGCTTTTTAAAAATGCTTGTGGCCAGCAGACTGATGGAATTGTAACTCCTTACGAAGAGTTGTGACATTATGGGAAAAATCAGTCGGGGGGTGGAAATTTGGGGGATGGGAATCCAAGACTGTACAGAATTTTACGATAAGTTTCAAAAATAAAAATTTAAAAAAATGATTGCGGCAGGAGAGAGGATAGAGTGAGAAGTACCACCATGCTTCTAAAGCTGTATTATGCTATACATGAAATATATCCACTTTTTAGAAATAAGGTAAATTTAGATAAATATGTATTTTAAAATATTAAAACTTTAACAAAATTTTAAAAAACAAGAATTACTTCTGAGATTTAAAAATATTTTACAGTTTCAAAATCATGTCCTAGTAAAATGCCTTTTGTAATAATCTGTATTTGTGACATAATTCTTTCTAATTTTGAAAAGAAGTAAAATACAGAATATAGATGTGAGTGTGTATATGCATAAACACCAGAATTCAACCAGACAGTCCCCCAGCATAAAAGGATATTTTATAACACATCATATTTTTCCTCCATAACAGAACCTCTCAGAAGTTTGGAACATTGCCTCAATATTACTAACTTAGGCTTGGTAGTATTAAATAAGTTACAGTTGCCTTAGATATTTTTGAGTTTTGTCCCCTCCTATTCTGTGAAAAGTGTTAGTTCATGGCCCGTTGGGGCTCGATTCTTTTCAAATGACGTGTATGCAGTCAGGCTGCCTTCTCCTTGCTAGAGCAACCATCTGAACAGTGTCACCTGTCCTCCGACTGCACAGATCGACAGTGTCACCTGTCCTCCGACTGCACAGACCGACAGTGTCACCTGTCCTCCGCCTGCACAGACCGACAGTGTCACCTGTCCTCCGCCTGCACAGACCGACAGTGTCACCTGTCCTCCGCCTGCACAGACCGACAGTGTCACCTGTCCTCCGCCTGCACAGACCAACAGTGTCACCTGTCCTCTGCCTGCACAGACCAACAGTGTCATCTGTCCTCCGCCTATACAGACCTACAGTGTCACCTGTCCTCCGCCTACACAGACCAACAGTGTCACCTGTCCTCCGACTGCACAGATCAACAGTGTCACCTGTCCTCCGCCTACACAGACCAACAGTGTCACCTGTCCTCCGCCTGCACAGGCCAACAGCCTCGTTAACTGAACAGCAGTACCCAGTACTTATCCTATCTGTCATACCACCCTATGGTTTTCTTTCTGTTTTCACATTCTCCCTTCATGATTCTAATCAGTTTCACAAATACTGGAGAATTTCTCATGGTTATGGTATCAGTTTGAACTAATTATTTTATTAAAAGAGACACATCAATTAATTAAATGAAGTACAAATGTACAATATTTATGGTCATAAGAAACATGTAGCAAAATCACACTAGCAAAATAAGGAATATAAAAGCTAATGTCCAATAACATTATTTTTTATGTTTTTTTATCAGTGTAGTTCTCTGTGATGATATTTAATTGAATTTGCAAAATTGTAAAAAATACTAAATAGGTTTTAAAAAGCAAAACACTCAGCACTTGTGAAAAGACTAAAAGCAACAAAACTGCACAGATAATGCTTATTCTTTCTTTTTAAGGATTTATTTATTTTTATTGGAAAAGCAGATATACAGAGGGGAGGAAGAGACACAGAGAGGAAGATCTTCCATCCGATGGTTCACTCTCCAAGTGACCCCAATGGCTGGAGTTTAGCCAATCCCAAGCCAGGAGCCAGGAGATTCTTCTGGGTTTCCCATATGGGTGTAGGTCCCAAGGCTTAGGGCCGTCCTCAACTGCTTTCCCAGGCCACAAGCAGGGAGCTGGATGGGAAGATTAGAACCAGCTCTCATATGGTATACCAGTGCACTCAAGGCAAGAACTTTTAGCTGCTACCCTATGGTGCCAGGCATTGCTTATTTATTTATTTTTTAATATAATGACATAGTAGGGCCCAATTAGGTAGCCTGGTATCTAAAGTCTTTGTCTTGCATTTGCCAGGATCTCATATGAGCACTGGTTCGTGTCCCAGCAGCTCCACTTCCTATCCAGCTCCCTGCTTGTGGCCTGGAAAAGCGGTGTAGGACAGCCCAAGGCCTTGGAATCCTGCACCCATGTGGGAGATCCAGAGGAAGCTCTTGACTTCTGATTGGCTCAGCTCTGGTGATTGCAGCCACATGGGGAATGAATCAGCAAATGGAAGATCTTCCTCTCTGTCTCTCCTCCTCTGTGTATACCTGACTTTTCAATAAAACTAATAAATAATTTTTTAAATTAATAAAACTTTTAAATAAATAAGTAAGTAAGTAGAATGACATAGTAGTATGTTTCTTTAAAAAAAAAAAGTTATGTCTAATGATTCCAGCTATTAATTTAAAATTAACAACTTAACATATTCAGACCTCCAAGATAACTGACAAAGTTTAAACACAACAGTCATTATGACACATTTATAACATATCAGAAATTATTCTAGTCTGCAGAGAATAAATACCACAACTGTTAGACACTGGATCCCCACTGAAAAACGGAGAACATGTGATATTTAGTTTACTGTCATGGCTGATTAAGCTTGGCCATTGTATTAATGTTGTGGTGCCGTACTTCTTAACTGTATGTCTTTACCGTATTTGACTTTCTTCACCATCTGACTCACTGATTTCAATGTCATTTAAACATCTTATGAGTATATAATGATACAAAGGGGATTGTGGCCCGTGTAAGCCCAGTGCTTTGGGGAGTTCTCATCTAAAAACCCTCTTGCAATTTCAGCTTTCCTTTAGGATGGGAGTTTGGGTGGGGGGGCACGGTCCCAATCTAAACAACCTGGGTTCCCAGGAATCGTTCCCTGCCCACATGACCCCCAGCCTTATTATAGGGCAAGCCCCGCCACCCCACCAGGTGTATCTTTCAAGGGTAACTCAGGGAAGCCCAAGGGACTGTCATGGTGCTGGAGTGAGGATGCAATCGGAATACGACCACCAAGGCAGGGGGATCCGCACATATGACTATGACGTCCTCCGTGAGCAGCAGAGAGCTGCAGTGGACAGAAAAGGAACAGGTCAAAACATGGGCCTCGCTCAGGCTGCCATGCCCTGGCAGAACTCAAATGGAGTAGGGAAGTTCTGTACTCTGACCTGCCTTTCAAGGTCATCACTGAGATGTATTAGTCGAGGCAGGCAAATATAACATTCATTTCACATTTTGATTTAAGCATGTGGGTTTATATCATTATTTTTTCTTTGAATTTTACAAATATTAGGGGAAACGCTGTATTAATGACTTTTATTATAAGAATAATTCTTACTAGTTTTCCAAGAAGAAACAATTATTGTGTTATTTGTTCAGAAATTTTTCTCCCTTAGTTTTTTTCTTCCCAATTTTTAGTTTTATGAGACTGACGCATATGGCTTTCTGAGATATAATCTGTATTACTTTGTGATAAATTGGTAAATTTTATAACTATTATTATAGAAAGTAACAGTCATGTTACTCTTAACTTTTGCTGTTTGACACACACAGTCATGGAATATAGATCACCTGTTGCATGTAGCTCAACAAAATTATCAAGACTATAAAATCAGACATGGCCGATGCCTTCCTCCATTCTCAGTTCTATAGAAATGGGCCTCAACTTTTTCAAAAAATTTCCAATTTTGCAGACTTATAAATGTTCATAAACCAACACTGTTTGACCAACACAAAGATGTATGTTAATAGGAGAAATTAATCTGAAACTGCATGTCACTTCAATGTATAGCCCAAAGATCATTTTTGAAAAACGTTACAGCAACCAATAAGCTTATATACTGATTGCCTTACCATTTCGGATCAATACTTTCTAAATGAAGGGCTCCAGGTAGAGGCTTTTAATGCTTGCATTGGTTTTCCAAGTACAATAACAAAAAGTAATTTAAGGAGCTAGTCTTGGGGAAATTATAAGCATTATTTCAATAAAGCAAAACTAAGTAACACAGTATCGACAAATCTATAAATCATAAACAGCTGTTTGTAATGGACAATATTTCCATGTGTATCACATGAATGCCATAGAAACAGAAGGTGGTTTGTCCTTTTGTTACTTTATAGATCATGCCATGAGTCTCATCCTTAAAAATCTCTCCTTATGAAGATCTTAGGCTGTATGTGATCTTAGTGATATATATTTTAAAAAAAGAAAACTAAAAGCATATGAGAAATGCTGTATAAATTAAAAACAGGTCTATCTCCTTTTAAAAATTATTGACTCAAAATGTTTCCTGTTCTTACATTAATGTATAGCCACACAAATTAGCTCCACTTTAATGAGAGACAGGAGTAGCTTTGGGTTACTATAGATCGCATCCGTAGTAAGCATTTGCAGATTAGCCCAACAATTGGCAAACTCTGTATCACAGAAAGTTAAATGTTGATTTCATACTTACCAAAACTAAATCGACAGGAAGAACAATTTTAATTTTCCTTTTAAATTGCTCATTCAGCTCTTTAACAAGAACAAGTACCACAATGCTCAGTAAGGATAAGAGTAGAGCTTCCAGTCGGACAGACTTGATGTTTTCAAAGACATAGGCATAAATCTACAGTTATGGGGGGGGGAGAAAAACAAAAAACAAAATTCAGGATTATCACAGCTTATCAGTTTGGAAATCTGGCTGCAAATAAGCTCAGTGGTGTCGTATAACTCCACCTTAATGGCTGGAGGTGGCAGGGTAGAAGTAAAAGGATTGTTATGAGTTAGAACGCAGTAATCATTTGCAAGTTCAAAATCTCTTTGCCCTAGACTCTTCTGTCATACTCAGGGTCTGCGCCTTTTAGAGCGATGCAGTATCTCATGTAGTTGCATCATTAAGAGGTGTGTGGGGACTGTGGACCACTCACCTATGCCCACCACTACCGTTCCTCAAATCCCAGAAACAAATTCACATATAACCCATATGTGATGGTATGAAGAGTTGGTCAAGAAACCAGTACAGTTATCAGTCTTTAAAAGTAAATAGGCCTATTTTAATATAAAAGAGTATCAAAGAACTTGCTTTAACTAAAAAGAAGGCATAACATATTCATACAAGTCTTGGACTTGAAATATTCTGACTTGGCAAAAAACGTAGGATACATGTAAGAATAATGTCAAGGAAAAGAACAAACTAAAGCTCCTAAAATCTAAAGCTTACATTCATTCAACTAAGTCTCAATAACATTTTTCTCAGTAAATTGGAACATTAAAAGTAATCATGTAAGTATCTGATCTTCTAGCATTAAAGAGGATAGACTGAAATTTTAAATTGAATGCTAAATGGGAAAAAAATAACTAGCCAAATCCAATCTTTCCTCTACACAATTATGCACAAAGGAAAAGTCATGTGACAACACAGTAAGAATGCAACAGTGTGGCGAGGGAGCCGTCAGGCCACGGACACCTTTAACTTGGACTTTCCACTCTCCAGATCTGGAAGAAATATCCTCACGTTGCTTAAGCTTCCCAGGCTGGGTTATTTGTTAGGATGTCCTTAAAAGACTAATACGAGATTTTCATTAAGTGAAATTTCATACTTTTATTTAGTTTAGTGGTGAACCCACCAACTTGGATGCCTACCAGCTAACAGGCCCATTTCCCATGCCAGAGATCCTGAGTTCCAGTCCCGTCTGATACCATCTCCCTACTGAGAACATCTTAGGACACAGCTGAGTATGGCTTAAATAGTTGGTTGCCTGGCTCCCAATACAATGAGTTAAAGACCTGAATTACATCCCCGCTCTGCTCCGGCAGTGGCCCACTCTCAGCTATTCCAGACATTTGAAGAGCAGACCAGTGGGTGGTATATCTCTCTATCCTTCTCTTTCTCCTCGAATATGAGATAGACAGATACGGATATAGACAGATATAGATATTATAGATATAGATGTTATAAATACAGATAGACACAGGCAGAGAGAGAGAGAGAAACATGGAAATATAGTCTATTCATCTATTTGGTAGATGTTTATATTTGTGCTTATGCATATATTCTGTTTTCTTGCTTATTATAACACATCACCTGTATAAGCAAAAAGGTTTATTAATATAATTTCAATAATTATCTTCAATGCATTTCTTGTCTCTTCCCATGGATATCTAAATCAGAAATTTTGGAATTCCATTTATTTTTAAATGTATTCATTTTTATTGGCAAGACAGATCACATTGACAGAGAGACAAAGAGAAAGATTTTCCATCCATTGGTTCATTCCCCAAATGGCTACAACAGCCAGAGCTGAGCTGCTCCAAAGCCAAGAGCTTCTTTTGGGTCTCCCACACAGGTACAGGATCCCAAGGCTTTGGGCCGTCCTCGACTGCTTTCCAGGCCACAAGCAGGGAGCTGGATCGGAAGCACAACAGCCAGGATCAGAACCAGTGCCTATGTGGGATCCCAATGCATGTGAGGTGAGGATTAAATCATTGAACCGTCATGCCAGGTTCAAATCCTCATTTCTCTTTGCTCACAGCATGGTTTTGAAGTCCAGTTTAAGGTAGCAAAAACTAATTTTTACTTGAACTCACAGGACATTCCTACAGTGATCCAAACTGCTACTGCTCGCTGCTCTATTTGTCATCTTGGATATAATGAGATCATCAGCAAAATATTGTTAAAATATTACATAGGCAATAAGTTGGTAAAACATATGCAGACTGTATTTGCTTGCATCTTAAAATTCTGCTTGCTATGGCCTAATCAGAGGCTGCAGGCCATGTGTTGCAGGAATAAAGAATATACCTGGTGTGAAGCAGAGGTGTCAGCCTATACAAGCCTAAATATACTCCATTGGACATTGCCATGGACTTTATAGTAACTTCAAAGCAAGAAAAAACTCAGTGAAAAATGCAGCCTCGCTGGATTAAAGGATCAGAGCAATGTTGGTGATCCAGAATGTACTTGGCTCATAGAGTTAAAACAAGTCATGGAGAAACTGTACTTGTTATGTAATCAGTTGTATTAAGTAATTAGTGAATAAACATTACCACTAGCTATTCATGATATGCTATTTTATTCCATATTACTTGGGAAGAAATTAGCTACTATAACAGTGTGATTATCTAAGATGCAAGTGATACAGCTCTCTGTATGCTGCGGATGATAACGGTTCATAATATTTCTGCAGCCAGTGAAGAAACAAAGTCCATTTCTTAGAGCTACACATTACTTAAAGTCCTGGATAAAACATTCAAACTGCTATTCAGTCAAATATAGCCTACAGAAGATAATGACGCCGGGAATATCAAGAAAATTTGCCAAAATGCACAGCTTTCTCTTGTTTTGCCATGATTTGAACATAAAATCACTGATAGTATTGAGATGCTTTATTGGGAAAAAGTTCAACATCTAAATGTCTTAAAATATTCAGAGGACTATTATTCTTTTCCCAAGGAATTAAAAATTTGCGATGACGGTATCTATATAGGGAGGAAATAAGCAAAACTCCCAAACAAATTTTCTGATGATGTGCATTTCAAAAGCATGTGCTTGCAGTAATCACCATGACTACTCTGGAATGAAAAGAATGAGAAGAAAAGAACCCATGGTTTTACTGCCTGTTTGGGTTAACCTCTGGTTCGTCAAGCAAAGCACATCCTTAAGATGCTCCAGGACAACATGGATTGGGGGAAGCGGAGGCTGGTGAGGAGTGTCATTCTACAATTGTCATGTGAAGTTGCAAGCTAAACCAAGATTATAAAAAATAGGTGGCATATGCAGAGAGAGAAGGCAATAAGGCTCCACACACAAGCACCCTTTCTTCTGTGCTTTCCTAATAGAATTCTAGGCATTCCAAGAACACACAAAATCTCTCGATTTTAATATAATCCAGTCATCTTGAGAATGCACAATACAGTCCATCAGATAAAAATTCCTACTCAATGTCATCTTTTGTTTCCCAGATATCAGAGAGGCAAAGCTAATTTGATATCTGCATTGATAAGAAAGGTATTTTATTAAAAATGACCAATCTGTTTGATAGTGTTGTTCATCAATTTTCAGACTGTTATTCCAGTTCTTTCAACTGATGCTTTTTATAACTTAGCACATAATGAAAAACATAAGGCAGGCATTCTAGCACATAGGATAAACCACCCCTTGTGATAATAGCACCCCACATGGGATAAGTGGTTGAGTCCTCAGTGCTCCACTTCCAATCCAGCTTTTTGCTAATGCACCTGGAAAAGCATCAGATGAAGGCCGAAGTACTTAGATCCCTGCCAACTTCTGAGGAGACACGGAACAAGTTGTTGTCTCCAGCTTCAGCCTGGCTTGTCATTTGCTATTGTGGCCATTTGGGAAATGAACTAAAGGTAGCTCACCTCTCTCTCTCTCTCTCTCCTTTTGGCCCTATGCCTTTCAAATAAATAAATAAATGAATGAATATATTTGAAAAAATATCACATGTAGACACACCTGTTGAGATGTCCAAGGAATTAAAATAATCCATTCTGAGTATCTGTATACAAATATAAAAGTATCTGAAGCAATAACTAGAGCTTATACACATATACACTCATACAAATGGAAAACATAAAGTGCTTTTGTTTCTAATTCAGCCATTGCTTATGAATATGGTTTATTCCACTGACAGAGTCTCAGCTTCTAGAATTTTGTCTAGAAAAAGTTGGAGTTCAACAAATGTTATTGAATAGGTGAACACCTTCATCTAGCAGTTATAAATTAATCTATAAATAGATTTTACAGCTAATAAACATGATGGCAAGGAGAGGCAAGACCAAGACTCTTTTCTCACTAGCTATACTTGGCTTATAACATAATATGGGGATTAGTAGTTATCACACATTCACTCACTTAATTTGTTCATTAAATTTTTAGTAATTTGAGATGAATATTGAGATTACTACTGAAGTAAATATCAAGTAATATAATTTTAAAGTCAATTTGATCTGAAATCAAACTTAGAATTAATTATGTAAGAACAAAGAAAAATTAAAAGCTAAAAATGTACACAGCATTTAGTTAAAAAAAAAAAACAAAACTTGTCAATGGAGCAAGGCTATGACCAATCATTTCTCACTGTGCTACGGTTACTGAAGTTCTAAACAAGACTTAGTATGGAAATACATGTGTAGGAAAAATATTCTAAAGCATGGCTACTCTAATAGGCTTCATAATATAAAGAGAAAGACCTTATATATTTAGAGAATAATAAGTTTCAAAATTTAAATGGACTTTCTGCTCAGTTCTCTGCCAGAAAGATCAATTAAAATATCTTTCCCCATCATTCTGGGTGTGCTAAATTTTGTTGCAATGTAACTGTACCTGTATCTGAAATATATTTTAACATTCAATAATATAATGGCATCTTTAATTGAACTACTTTAAAGTGACCACAAAAAGCATCCAAATACTTATTTGTATGTCAAAGCGAACATGTAAGTCTTCATATTATTTGTCATTCCTGTGTTAGCTTTGAACTGAGAAACTGTCATAAGTTTCTGTTCTTACAGAAAAGCAACAGTCAACAAAACTAGCAGCTTTTAATAAATCTGTCAGCATGCTTATTTGATAAGAAGTACACACTAATAATCTGCAATCTATGA